TGACCTCCTGCTTCCATGGGTTAATGCTCAACCATTGAGCCACACTGGCCCATCATATTTTGACACTATTACAGAAGTTTCCCATTTTCCCCCCTTTTGCCCCTCTCCACCCAATGACCACCCTATGTCAGGCCATCCCCATTCTATTGTCTATGTCCATTTGGTTAATCTCTTCCTGCCCCACCTCCCAACATCCGTTGAGGTCTATTATTCTGTTCCATGCATCTATACCTCTGGACCTATTTCGTTCATTAAATTCCACATGTAAGTGAGATCATGTGATATTTGTCTTTCTCTACCTGGCTCATTTAGCTTATCATAGTAGTCTCCAGGTCCATCCATGCTATCTCAAAGGGTAAGAGATCCTTCTTTTTTACTGCTGCATAGTATTCCACGGTGTAACTGTACCACAGCTTTTTTTATCCACTCATCTACTGATTGGCACCTGGGCTCTTTCCAGATAACACTGCTGTGAACATAGGGATACTTACATTCTTTCTGATTGGTGTTTCAGGATTCTTAGGATATATTCCCAGAAGTGGATCGACGTGTCAAAAGGCAGTTTCACCTTTAGTTTTTTGAGGAAACTCCACACTGTTTTCCACAGTGGCTACACCAGTTTGCATTCCCACCAGCAGTGTATTAGGGTTCCCTTCTCATCATCCTCGCCAGCACTTGTTGTTTGTTGATTTATTGATGGTAGCCATTCTGGCAGGTGTGAAATGATACTTCGTTGTAGTTTTAATTTACATCTCTCTGATGATTAGTGATGTTGAACATTTTTTTTATGTGTTTATTGGCCATCTGTATGTCCTCCTTGTAGAAGTATCTATTCAGGTCTTTTGTCCATTTTTAATTGAATTATTCTGGTGTTGAGTTGTATGAGTTCTTGTATAATTTGGAAATTAACCCTTTATCAGATGTATCATTGGTGAATATGTTTTCTCATACAGTAGTTTCCCTTTTCATTTTGTTGATGGTTTCTTTTGTTGTGCAAAAGCTTTTTAGTTTGATGTAGTCCCATTTGTGAATTTGTTTCCTTTGTTTCTCTTACCCTAGGCGAAGTCTCAGTGAAAATACTGCTAAGTGAGATGTCTGAGATTTTACTGCCTTTTTTTTTTTATTTTTATGGTTTTGTGACTTACATTTAAATCTTTTATCTATTTTAAGTTTATTCTTGTGTATGGTGTAAGTTGGTGGTCTAGTTTCATTTTTTGTACGTACCTGTTCAGTTTTCCCACTACCATTTATTGAAGAGACTATCTTTACTCCATTGTATGCTCTTGCCTCCTTTGTCAAATACCAATTGACCATATCAGCATGGGTCAATTTCTGGGGGCTCTGTTCTGTTCCATTGGTCTATTTGCCTGTTTTTGTTCTAGTACCAGGCTGGGGTTTTTTTTTTGTTTGTTTGTTTGTTTGTTTTTTAATTTTATTGTTGCAAGTATTACATATGTTCTCCTTTCTCCCTCTCCCATTGACCTCTTCTAGGCTGCCTCCATCCCCCGCCTCAGGCCTTTACTACCCTGTTGTCTGTGTCCATGGGTTATGCATATATGTATACAAGTTCTTTGGTTGATCTCCTACCCACCCACCCTTCCCTGCCTTCCCTCTGAGATTCCACAGTCTGTTCCATGCTTCTATGACTCTGGATCTATTTTGTTCATCAGTTTATTTTAACCCCTTATTAGATGTATCACTAGAATCCAGATAGTACCAGGCTGTTTTGATTAGAGTGGTTTTGTAGTATAGTTTGATATCAAGTATTGTGATTCCTCCTATGTTATTCTTCTTTCTCAACATTGCTGTGGCTATTCGGGTTTTTATTTTGATTCCATATAAATTTTGGAATATTTGTTCTAGATCTGTGAAATATGTCATTGATATTTTAATCGGGATTTCATTGAATCTATAGATGCCATTGGGTAATGGACATTTTATGATGTAATTCTTCAGTTCATGAATATGGTATATGCTTTCACTTGTTTGTATCTTCCTCTCTTTCCTTTTTCAGTGTTCTATGGTTTTCCAAGTATAGGACTTTTACCTTGTTGGTTAAGTTTATTCCCAGATTATCTTATTTTTTGTTGCAATGGTAAATGGGATTTTTTTTTTTTTTTTTTTTTTTTTTTGTTTCTCTTTCTGAGAGTTCATTATTGGTGTATAAAAATGCAATCTATTTTCAGGTATTAAATTTGTATTCTGCTACTTTGTTAAAGTTACTAAATATAGCAATCTTTTGGTAGAGTTTTTAAGGGTTTTCTATATGCAATATATGTAATCTGCGAATAATGATAGTTTTACTTCCTCCTTTCTAATTTGGATACATTTTTTCTTCTTTCTGTCTGATCTCTGTGGCTAGGACCTCCAGTATTACCTTTAATAAGAGTGGTGTAAACAGACATCCCTGTCTTGCTTCTGATCTTAAGGAAAATGCTTTTAGTTTTTGACCATTGAGTATGATGTTTGCTATAGGTGTGTCATATGTGACCTTTATTTTTTATTATGTTGAGTTATGATCTCTCTATTCCCACTTTCCTGAGAGTTTTTTTTTTTAAATAAAAAATGAGTGCTGGATTCTGTCTAATGATTTTTATGTGTCTATTGATATGATCATTTGATTTTTATCTTTCATATCACATTTATTGATTTGTGAATATTGAACCATCTTTGCATTCCTAAAATAGATCCCACTTGGTTATGCTATATGTTTTTTTTGTTTTTTGTTTTTTTTAATGCATTGCTGGATCCTAATTGCTCATATTTTGTTGAGGATTTTAGCATCCACATTCATCAAGGATTTTAGCCTATAATTTTCTTTGTTTGTAGTGTCTTTTGGAATTAGTATAATGCTAGCCTCATATAAAGAGCTGGAAGTCTTCCCTCCTCTTAAATTTTTTGGAAGAGTTTGAGGAGGATAGGTGTTAATTTGTATTCGAATGTTTTGTAAAACTCACCTGTGAAGCTACTCGGTCCAGGGCTTTTGTTTGCTGGGAGTTTTTATTTTATTTATTTTTTATTACTGCTTCAATTTCATTAGTTGCTATTGATCTATTCAAGTTTTCTGATTCTTCCTGATTAGTTTTTGGCAGATTGTACTTAGGGTTTGTCTATTTCTCCCAGGTTGCCCACTTTGTTGGCATATAGATGTTCGAAGAACTTTCTTACAATTTGTTATACCAGATTCTTAATTTTTTTTAAAAATTAATAAAAGGTTATTCTAAATAATTAGTGTTTTTCTTACTTCCTAAGCCTCTACAGATAATGAAGAACTTCTGCAGTTTCCACTGGAACTCTGTTCAGATTCACTTCCTTCTCATCCTTTTTCACCAGCTAAAGGTTGGTTAAATAAGGGAAATGCAAACCCAAATCTTAGTTTCTAGTGTTTTTTACTTGCTTCATTATTGTTGATAATCTTAGAATCTTGAGATGAAGATTTACTCTTCATTCTTTCATTGTTATGTTCATAAAAGGGGGAAAGTAATAGTCTCATTTTAATTTCTCAAGTAATGTCAGCACATATTATTAAAATAATTTTTCATATGAGACTCCATTTTTATATATCAAATGTATTAAAGTTTTATTTTCAGAGATTTGGATTTCCAATAGTGATTTATTTGATATACTTGAAATTTATATTATGTTTGGTAATTTTTTTCAGCAACAATTGAACCTTACAAAAATATTCATTTTGAAAGTGACAACAAACTACTTATTTTCTCCAGAAGTATTTGGAGAGGTTTTGGGTGGCAGCAGTAATGTGAGAAAGGAGTGTGTTTTTGTCTATTAGGTATCTTGGATACAATTGAACATTTTTAGGTACTTACAAGACACTGCCGTTTTTTCAAATACAAAATGATCATCTCTTAATAACAGCACCTACTTAGATCTAACACTCTTTGGAGAAAATGGTAGTTTTTTTCATTTTTCTTCTGATTTCAGTGCAATTTTTATTACAAAATTTATAGAATTATTATACTTCATAGCATTACATATATAATAAATGTAGTTTGTGTTTTTCCTAAATGTTTTATTCTGAAAAATGGTACATCTGTTATTCAAAAAAACATATTGACTTTTCTTATTTTTATATTTTATCATACAAGTGAAATTATTTCATGTTTTCTACTTGTCAGGTATATTATCTGATACCAAATTAGATGTAATATGGAATAGTTTTATACTCACATTGCATGTATATTAATAATCTTTACTAAATCAGTGCAAAGCCTGTCCATATAGATAAGTAGATCCCATCTCTTATTTTGAAGTTGGAAAGATGAGGTACTTTCAAATTCTGAACTTTCTGACATGGTAACTGTGGTCCTTTTCCCTTTTTGTCTAAATTAAAATTCTAATTTAGAACTCCATGGAGAATTTTTGCATACTTCAACTTCCTTGAAAGGATAGAGAGGAAAAATCAAATCCAAAGATAATCTGAGTTCAGCTTTATAAAATAAATATAGCTCCCAGAATAAAAAGTAGAACTGTTAAGAATATCCCTTGAACTGACTAGACAGGATTTTTTTTTTAAATGCCTATTTTATACAGAAATGTGTATTTAATGCAGGGTTAGTTTTAAACTATTTTTAGGTATCATTTTTATTCATCCTTAACCTGAAATGTGTGGGGCTGGGTGGAGGGAGAGAACTAATTAACAAAACAAAGAACTAATTAACAAAAAATATTTCATCAATTGCTAATCTACTGGAATATGTATGTGTTCTTGGGGTTCCTGTTAGCTGTATTTTACCATGTTACTAGCTACTGAGTTCTGTAGATCAAATTTAAACTCTTAAGTTTGCTTTATCTGTGTTGATTACACAATATCTGCAGTCCTTTTTCAAAGGTCATTATAACCAGTATTTCTTTTAAAAAATATATATATTTTATTGATTTTTTACAGAGAGGAAGAGAGAGGGATAGAGAGTTAGAAATATCTATGAGAATCATCGACCAGCTGCCTCTTGCACACCTACTGGAGATGTGCCCATAACCAAGGTACATGCCCTTGACCGGAATCGAACCTGGGACCTTTCAGTCCGCAGGCCAAAGTTCCATCCACTGAGCCAAACCGGTTTCGGCTAGCCAGTATTTCTTGTCATTAGTATATTTTGTATAAATTATACTGTGTGAACTGAAGAATAAGGAAAAAAGAATTAGAGTGGAATAAGTAATATCTGGAATAAGGAATAAGTAATAACAATCCTAAAATATTTGCAATTCAATTTAAGGAGTGTAGAGAAGGGCCTCAGGTGGAGTAATAAAGCAACAGACCTGGGATCTCTTATCAGTTCTGCTACTCAGTGGTGTGAGACTTGAGGCCAACTTAAACCTCATTTCCTCATCTGTGAAACGTGAAAGGATTAAGGTTCCCTCTAGCCTTTAAAATTCTCCAATTCCCTGGGTTTCTGTAGTTTGTGGTTCTTCAGTTAACATATTCCCATTACTAAAAACAAATCAAAAGCTAAATTATGCCTATGGTCACACTGAACTTAAAAATTTCCAAATAGCTTCTAATTAGTTAAACCAATAATTTTAAACCATAGTGTTTCTTCAGAGGTGCCTCACGACTTCCCAGGAGGTAGGGTGGAAAGGGAGGGAGCTGAAAAGGTCTGGGGATGTGAGGGGATAGGTCTCTGGACCCCCTACCGTACCTCTGAACTAGAGCAGCTCTGATTCAGTGTGTTTCTGGGTATCTGCTTTTTATATGTGATTTTGTTTGAAGAAAGAAAGGGTTTCAAAATTGGGAAATAATGGAATCAGATCATTTCACCTTTATTATCATTGTCATCACCATCATCTTGTTCATAATGATCAACATAATCAAAACCAGTACTAATGTGTATAACACTTTTTATACTAAGTGCTTAACTGAAAAACCTGTGTGCTTTTCCATGAATATTGCATTTCAGAATCATCAGTAAGCACTAAAAAATTTATCTGAACCTGTTGTAAACAGTTTTGTGAATTGTGGTTTATGTTGCATGCTTATTTATTGTCTTTGTTCCCTCAAAGTCTTTTTAGGAGAACATGGGCTATACCAAATATATTTGAAAAGTTATTTTAAAGAAAGTATTTTCGAATATTAGAGGATAGGATGAGTTTTGTAAAGATCCTAAAAATGTCAGAATGTTATAACATGAATGTAGCAACTAGGCATTATAATATGAAGAAAAAGCTTTGCATAGAATATCTGGAAAAAATTAAGCATAACAATTCAGAGGAAACAGGCAGGAGAGGGCAAGGTAAGAGTGCTAGGAATAAATGTTCAAAAATGTCTCTACTTTAAAAAAATATTCTTATTGATTTCAGAGAGGAAGGGAGAGATAGAAACATCAATGATGATAGACTCGCAGGGGTCTTCAATCTACGGCCCGCGGGCCACATGCGGCCCGCAGAGGAGTCTGATCCGGCCCACCAGGTTTTTTGGGCAGTGAGCGCAACCGAGGTGTTACAGTAGGAATTAGTAGTTCATATAGTCCGGCCCTCCAGCTCTCTGAGGGACCGTGATCTGGCCCCCACTTTAAAAAGTTTGAGGACGCCTGTGAGAATTAATCATTGATTGGCTGCCTCCTGCATGGCCCACATTGAGGACCGAGCCCCTAACCTGGGCATGTGCCCTGACTGGGAATCAGGAATTGAGCCATGACTTCCTGGTTCATGGGTCAATGCTCAACCACTGAGCTACATGAGCTGGGCTCTTCTCTGCTTTTCTGTATGCAACCCACAGAGGCTCAAAAGTCAACTACTAATACTAAGAAGTAAATAAATATATATAATTTTTATAGTTTTGTTAGTTCAGTTAGCTAAGCTGATGGAGCTTTTCTTTTTTCTTTCTCTCTTAAAAAAAAATATATTTTATTGATTTTTTACAGAGAGGAAGGGAGAGAGATAGAGAGCTAGAAACGTCGATGAGAGAGAAACACCGACCAGCTGCCTCTTGCACACCCCCCACCGGGGATGTGCCCACAACCAATGTACATGCCCCTGACCAAAATCGTACATGCCCCTGACCGGAATCGAACCTGGGATCCTTCAGTCCGCAGACCGACACCCTACCACTGAGCCAAACCGGTTTCGGCTTTTTTTTAATTCTGAAAATTTTGGATTCTATCACAAAAAGGATAATTTGTTAAAATGTTCATTTTCTTTTATGTTGACAAAAGTAGTTTTAAGAGCTAAGTTAAGCACAGTATATTTATTAATACTTCCATCTTTTCACTTGTAGATAAACCTTTTCTTATCCTTTCATGTTATTGGAAATGAGTGAATATTATGTGAAGAAAAGATGTTTCAATTATATGTTTCCTATTTCTGGGTATAGAGTAAGCCTGGGCCTGAATTGTCCATCCATGTTCAATATTTTCTTCCATCTTTTGTTATATTTGGTTTTGTTTCTCAAGGTAACAAAATAGTTTGAAGTATGTCTCAAATTTATGGTTGGCTTGGTGTTACCTTGCTAGTTATCTTGATTTTTCAGATTTGAAATATTAAAAGGTGCTGAGCTGAAATAATTTCTTAAAGGACATTGTCATATGAAGGTCATCCAAATATTTTAATGAATACTGTGAGGATCATAGATGATGTGGCGTTGACATAAATTATTTTCACGTGAAGCTGTGTTAACGAGAAAAAAGATGGCTATAGTGAATTTTTATGACACTTTCATAGTGTTTTTCCTAACTATTAATACCAAGACTTCAGTTTTTCTCAAAATAGTTTCAAGATACTTATAAAATGATATGTATAGGAAAAAAGGGATCAAATATAGTAAAAATGGGGAATCTGAGTGAATATAATTTGCGTGGAAAGTAAAAAATAAGTAAGATTTTTCTCATAAACTGTAGTTGATGTCAAGAATTTTAAACATGTAATTTTCATAAAAGATTAGCATGTTATTTTAGATGCATTTCTAAAGATAAAAATCTTGAGATATTACATACCATATTATAGGGTTTAAAGACTTACATTAATGACAAAAGTGTATGTATTTTACCCTATTATAAATAAATTTCAAATATTTTACCAATCTATAATAGGATAGTATTTTCATTAAAATTTTGAGAGTTTTAAGACTGGGAAGGTTTGATTAAATTGATCCTAGTTTTTATATACTGTTAGATAAAACTGTATAAAGGAAAAGTTTTTATAATACCCACTTTGTTCCTGCTTTCATTTTGCTTTATGCTGGCATGATTTCCTCATGCTCAGTGGCATAAGGTATATGCTGCCAAGATTACTCTTTTTATTAGGCAGCTGCTGACTAATGTGACAAGCATAGGCCAAAATCTGGGTTTCAATATAAAAGAAAATAAGTTGGCTTATTCCTTTAATATGTTGTACTCCATAATTAGGTATCCACATCAGAATTTTTTTTTTATCTTTACTTTTATTGTAGTTTTATAAGAATTAATTTTTCTTTTTGTTAAATCAAATTTGATTTTAAATGATATCTTAACTTTTTAAATTTAATGACTTCCCTCACATTATTTTAAACTACAATAGCTTTTAGAAATATAAATCTATGAAACCTTTAAAATTAGCTTTCATTTTTTTCCTGCCAACTAATGATTCTGAATTCTTACAAGTCTAAATAATTCATTATACTAACTAAATATCTTTTTATATTAACAACTCATTGCATGCCTGTTTTCTCTCTCTCTTTAAAATATATTTTGTCCCATTGACCAAATGGTATCAACAATAGAAAATTCTCCATATTATTGGTGACCACAACAATCAACAGGAGATTTTGAAAGGGAGAGATACCGAGGGAAAGGAGAATGAGAGGAAAATAGAAACTAAAGGGAGGAAAGTATGTGGAAAACTTAGCACAAAATGGGAAGGAAGGAAGAAAAGAATTGACGGAGAAGTAGGGTTAAGAAATTTTAGCTTCTTTAAGGTAGCTTGAGGACAGTAAAAGCTGGAGAAGGGAACAGTGGAATGTAAAAGAAAAAAAAATTAATTGAGTTACTGATGGAAAACATTATTTGGAAGAGACGATATGAGGAGGAGTGGGTACCTGCTATTGTTGGCAGGAAAACAATAAAGGGTGATTGAAGGAAAAGCACAAGTGGTTTAGACTGTTGTACACTTTTAGGTGGAAGCTTTAATGACCCAGATAAAGAAGCTACTTAATTGTCTTTGTCCTCTAGCGCAGTGGTCGGCAAACTGCAGCTCGTGAGCCACATGCAGCTCTTTGGCCCCTTGAGTGTGGCTCTTCCATAAAATGCCACATGCGGGTGTGCATGTACAGTGTGATTGAAACTTCATGGCCCATGCGCAGAAGTCGGATTTTGGCTCTCAAAAGAAATTTCAATCGTTGTACTGTTGATATTTGGCTGTGTTGACTAATGAGTTTGCCGACCACTGCTCTAGTGTATGTATTACCTTTATAAATGAAATTTTTTCCTTATGGACTGTCCAAATTGAAGTTCTGTCTTTTTCTATGCCTTAATAGTTTCTAACTATAATATGACCATTTTATTACCAACCCACCAATATTTGAATATAATTATGGACAAAGTTTATGCTGAATGTTCATATACATCCTTTATCTAACTTGGTTATTAATCCAGATTTTATAGCTATATGACTTAGCTAATCAGTGCATTATAGATTGATGGAAATACCTAATCTGCGAAAGAACTTTTCTGCAGGAATTTTTCCAGTTTTAGTAATTTTCTTAGGTTGACCATGTAAAATTGTCTCAAATATTTTTTAATTATTAAGAACAAAGATGTTCTGTGAATTCTAATGATACAAAGTGAGTTAGTGGTCAGTATAGAACTTTATCATAGTTAATCAACACCTTTGTCATTGGTATGACAGATTAGGAAAATAAGAAAGCCTTTAGAGGCATTGGAGCATGTATAATTGAGGGAGGAAGAATTCTTGCCACATTTTTTCCTTTGTCATCATTTTGCTCATTTTCACTAAACTGCTTTTAACTTAGGGTAACCCCCCTCCCCACACCATTAGGGCTTGTTAAATATTGCTAGAATGTACTAAGAGAATAAGAAAGCCATAGGTGCTGGTGTGCGTGCCAGGCTAACTTTCTAGGGTTGTTTATTTGGGGATAATAGAGTTATCACTTACTTGTGCTTTTTAAAACAAAATAATCTTTTTTTGTATTCAGTGGGAAAGGAAATGGTAAGAGAAGTAGGCTGCCATGTGGCTTGATTGAGACTCTCTTTACAGTTAGAATGGGACCTAACCTAAGTGTTTGTCTCAAACTCTTTCACATAGATACACAAATGGCCCACACTAAGCATTAGCCCTCAACAAAGCCCAAATGACTTTAATAAGATTTATTTTTAATCAAAATTACTAGATTGTCAATGAGCCAGACAGCTTATATATGTAGTACCTTCTCTTCTGAAAAGCCTGTTGCCTGGGACTCAAGTTGTAATCAGAAGGAGCAGTGTGACAGAGAGCCCGATATTTGAAGTACATAGTTGAACCAGTGCAAGGTGCTGCCAGGACTAGCTCACCTTACGCCTTTTCTCGGAGAGAAAAAAATTAAGGTCATAGCTAGCATATTAATAGATGAATCTGCTCTTCTTAAGTGAGATAAATCTTTTCTCTCGCCATTTCCCTTAATACTGTCTCAAATTTTGAAACTGATTTTTTTCAGATTTAATTCAAACACATTAATATTTGAGGGCCAAGAATAAATATTTTCCATTTTTTTATTTTCCCTCTCCCCTATTCTTTAAAAATTTGATGGGAAAAGTAGTAAATGCACATGGTGGAAAGTTCAAATCCTACCAAAAAATCATATAGTCCAATAAAGCATTCATCTCCCTTCATTGTCCTTCCCAAAAGGCAACTACTACTGTTTAAACATGTTTTTATTGATTTCAGAGAGAGGAAGGGAGAGGGATGGGAACATTGATGAAGAGAAACATTATGGATTGGTTGCCTCCTGCATGCTCTTTTCTGGGAATTGAACTGTGACTTTTCAGAAACCCCCTGCATGTACCCTAACTGGGAATTGAACTGTGTCTTCTGGTTCATAGGTCGATGCTCAACCAGTGAACCACACAGCACAGGCGAGACAATTGCTCTTTAAAAAAAAAAAAAAAAAAGTATATATATATATATATATATATATATATATATATATATATATATATATATAATTGATTTTAGAGACAGAGAAGGAGAAACATCCATGAGAGAGTTTGATG